GGCAATGCCCCGGTCTTGGCTTCCACGACCTTTTCTACGCTTTGAGGAATGAGATTGCTTTTCTTCTCGTCATTAGCTTGCTTTGCTATCGCTTTGGGCTTCTTTTCAACATCGACAATAGCTGTGAGCACCTAATTTTTGACCATACTTGAGATTTTTCAACACTTTTAGTATGTAAATAATTTTAAGTTTAATCTACATATTTTAAACTTTATTTCATTTTTAGTAGGTTTTATTTAAGAAAATTAAAATCACACAAAAAAGGAAAGTCATATTTTAGTATAAGTTTTATCTTTGTTTTACAAAGAAAGAAAGTTTCCAAAAAAAAAGAAAGATTTTATTTAGTTTAGCTTAATTTTAAACGATAGGTTTTGAGAAATAAATATTGAGTGTAGTAATTTTACCTTGCTTTTTATTTGCTTATTTAGTAGGAGTAGATTTTTTAGTAATTATCAAGAAAATAAAAAAAGAGCCAATGGAAAATTGTCTCATGGCAAAAGATTCTCTCTTATCATCTAATTCACATGCACTTTCCTAGCAATTTCCTACAAATAATACATACCCTAGACAATCACACTCCCAATCCTTATCTCTTTCACCAATTAATCCCTATACTTACACCTATATATCTACACCCTCATCACACAATTAAAAAAACGATAGCAACAATAGGAAGGAAACTCAACTTTATCGTTCTTGTCTTAAAGCTGTAGCTCACCCATTTTTCCTCCATTTCCACATCCCAAAATTCGCTAGTTATCCTCCATTGTCCAACACCATAACCACCTATTAAACAACTAAAAATTTGACATGTATACGCCTCAAAAAAATGCCACCCTAAACCAATCCAAATTCCAACTTGAAATCACCCCAATACAGTCCAACAACGACCTCCAAGGGCAGCTCTGTTTCTCAATGAAATCAGCCAAAAACCAGCCTTCAAACAGATCCTAAAACAGTCCCCAAGCACAAGCTAAAAGATGCTGAAATCAACTGGAAAACACAGCAAATAGAGCTTCAAAACACCACCCAAAATCCAGTGTTAGATAGCAGCAAAATCAGCTGCGAATCTGCTAAAAAATCTAGCCAAAAGAAGCAGCGAAACAAGCTGTGAAATAGCTCGAAAACCAGCCAAAACTTGACTGAAAATCCACACCAAATAGTCCCCTTTTGCACAGAAAAATTGCAGCTCCAAGGTTGAGTCGTCGAGTTCGCCGTCACTGGTTTTCGATCGTGGTCGCTGGTGTTTGGTCCGTCTTTTGAGTTGTAAAGCTTTAAAATTTGGATTCGGCAATAAAGGTCCGTTTCTTTTACACATGTATCGTGTCTTCCTAGTTTGATTCATGGACTTTGTTTGAATGATTATTTCATCAAGTTTATATATCTATGCGAGTGTTGAATCCGTAATTCGAACTGAGTCTATTTATAAGTTCAATTTTGTTTTGTTAGTATTTGAGGAAGTTAGGGAATTCGCTATTATTGTTATTATTATCATATATTAGCATGTTGTTTGGTTGTTGTCTTGATTAGTTAAGCCATTATTTTCATGCTATTTGGTTAGCTGCTTTTGAGTTAGATGAATAATGATGAAATTGGAGCTTTTGAGTTAGATAAGATTGTACAATAAATTGATTTGAATCTTGAACTTTGCTAGGTTATGAATTGTTTGTTACTATGTGATCTTGCCATTTATTGAGTTAAGCAGAAGGCCTTTTTTGTTGATTTATTTTCTTTTTGAATTTATTTTGGTAAAAATTGTTATTTGTTTGATATATGGGAAAACAAAGAAGATACTATTAAACTTACTCATGAAGTAAAAATGGTACTGTTAGTAAGTTCGTTAATGGAAATGACCTTGATGTTTTAATTGAGAGGATTAATAACTAGTTTGGCTAATTTTTCAGCATCATGTTATTGGCTTTGCATATATATCAAGTCAAAATGGGTAAATTATATTTTGTTTCACAATGGTATTATTCCTTAAACTCTTGACATCGCAATAGTCTCAAAGTTTATGAAGAATTATGAATACGATTAATATACTTTAGACGCGTTTAAATTTATCATCGTGATTGTGTACACGTTCGTGTGACATAATTATGATTTTCAAAAATAAATCGAGGTATGCGTTCGCGCAACTTCGGCCAAACTTTCTTAATATTAACAAAGCGTGATTAATTGTGTACACGTACGCGTGACATGATTCTTGACGCGCCGAACAAAATTAGTACACGTACGCGTGACTCATTTCAAAATAATTCCTCAATTACGAATGTTCGAGTAATTTAAAAGAGGTAAAAGGTAAAATGTACGTAGGTTCTAAAATACATAATTAAGCAATTAAATTAAGCCAGGTATGATTAAAGTGACCGTTCTAAAACCACAGAACTCGGGAATGCCTAACACCTTCTCCCGGGTTAACAGAATTTCTTACCCGGATTTCTGTGTTCGCAGACCTTAAATAAGAGTCAACTTTCCTCGATTGGGGATTTTAAACCGGTGACTTGGGACATCATAAATTATCCCAAGTAGCGACTCTGAATCTGAATAAATAACCCCGTTTCGATTATTGTGACTTCAATTGGAAAAACTCCCTTATACTCCCTTCTCGGGATAGAAAAAGGAGGTGTGATAGCTCTGGCGACTCTGTTGAGGATCGAACCTCTCTGGTTTCGAATTCGAGCTTGTTAATATAATCTATGCTTGGCTTTATTGTTTGTTGATATTATTGTATTTGTGGACTTAATGTGCTAATTGCCGCTTATTTACCGCTTTATTATTATTTGGACTGTATTAAACTGTCTTCTTACGCCTCCCTTCCGAGTCTTCTAAAAAATGGTGCACACGTTCGCGTGGCCCACTTTTCTGTTAGAAGTTATACCAAATTGAACGAGGCTGGGCCAGCAAGTGAGATACGTAGGCAAATCTCATCGGGTTTGGCCCACCATTTTCAAAAAAAAAAACCAAAAATATTTTTCTTTACCTCCTTTTTAGAAAAGTTTTTCTTTGAGACCCCAATTTTCAAAAAATCCAAAAATATTTTTCTTTACTTCCCTTTTCTTTAGAAAAGTCTTTCTTTGAGACCCCAAGTTTAAAAAAAAAAAATCAAAAAATATTTTTTTTTAATTTCTTCTAAAAGTTTAAAAATATTTTCATTCACCTTTCGAAAAATTGAAAAGAAAATTCAAGATTCAAAAATAATTTCTTTTTTCTTTAGAAGTCTTTCTTTCATAAATTCAAAATAAAAGCCCAAAAATCGAAAATATTTCTTTTCTTCTTTAGTAGTTTTTCTTTTGAAATTCAAAATAAAAATAAAAACAAAAAAATCTAAATCAAAAAATATTTTCTTTCTTCTTTATATGTTTTTCTTTTGAAAAAGTCCAAAATTCAAAAAAACGAGTTAGTTTATTTACTTTATTAATAATCTTCCCGAACTACGCAAGATCTGATTCATGTTCCCACATGATACGCAGGCAACTCACATTAGGTTCGATCAACCATTAAAAAGAAAAAAAATTAAAAAATGAAAAAAAAAATGAAAAATGAAGAAAAAATGATGATAATAATAAGGAATGACTGAGTCCATTCTAATGTGTCTTTTGTTTTGAATTGTGAAGAAAGTTTGAGGTGGTCAGTTTGTGGTAAGCGGACAACACAAGATCCAAAGAAAAATGATAACTGACATCGAAGCTGCTACAAGTGCTCAAGAGACTCAGGGTCAGAGGGTTTGACAAGAGTCTACTGTGTTTGAGGAAAATAGAATACTAAAATAGCAAATGACCAAAATGTGTCAAGCATGGGCCAATGGCCAAGGACAGCCTTGTCATGAGCCACAATTTGCTACCCAGCAAGAGCATTACCACTTTCCTGAGTACCACTCGTACTTGTTTGATCTCCCTGCAAACATTGAGAAGTCTGCCCGAAAGATGGCACAGGAAGAAATGACTCAGAGAGTGAAAAGCTTAGAACAACAGTTGAAAAACATGCAAGGTTTGGCAGGTCAGAAGAGTATTGCCTTCAAGGATCTATGTATGTTCCCCGATGTTCGTTTGCCACCTAGTTTCAAGATTCCTAAATTTGAAAAGTATGATGGACACGGAGACCCCATAGTCCACCTGAAAAGGTATTGCAATCAACTAAGAGGTGCGAGAGGAAATGAAGAATTACTGATGACTTATTTTGAGGAAAGTCTTACGGGGGTAGCCTCTGAATGGTTTATTGATCAAGACACATCTTGCTGGTATGTTTGGGATGACATGACCCGGGCTTTTGTCAAACAGTTCCAATATAACATCGACATCGCTCCAGACCGCAATTCCCTTTCAAACCTAAAAAAGAAACTAACTGAAAGTTTCAGGAAAAATACCATTAAATGGAGAGAGCAAGTGTGAGCATGTGATTTTTGACCTACACGAACTACTCCTATAAAATCCAAGAAAATAGATTTTTCTTAATTATTTGCCATTTTTAGGAATATTTTGTAGATTTTTATTAATTGTTTGCATTTCTATGCATGTTTAATTTTATTAAAAAATCATGAAAAAATGCCAAAAATATCATGCATTGCATTTAGGTTTGTTTTTATATTTTTAGGATTAATTAATTCATTATTTGCTTTATTAAAATAAAAATCACAAAAATGGCCATTTTGACATTTTCTTTCCCTTATTTTGAGATTATTGATTTTTTCACTTTTAATTTAGGATTAATTGATTTTTATAATTTTTGTAATTAGGCAAATAGTTTAATTCCACTTTTTAGATCAATTTAGGATTTTTCTTTAGTTAAAAAAGAGATTTAAAAATAAAAATAAAAGAAAGAGAGAAAAAACGAATTTGAAGGGGTCTAACATTTGGGCTGAACTTTAATTTGTCTTAATCCCCCCAGCCCAAATATCCCTCTTACCGCCCCAGCCCCCCAAAAAAAACCCTGACCCAAAACCTCCCTATTTGACCTGCCCATTTCACTTAATATATAACATCCTAATATTTTCCCCCAATTTAAACCCTAAACCTAGGAAATATAGAAACGGCGCCCCCTTGTTCTGTTCATCTTCTTCGTCGATTCAAACCTCAACTCGCTTGAAACTCACGCGAGTTCACTCAAATGGGTCCCTTCTCTCCACGTCACTTTATTCCAACAGATTTCAATCAGAGAAAAGAATATGCCCTCCGAATTTGCACGATTTCTGTACTATTGAGCGTTTTGCTGGATGAATGGGAGCCATGGATGATGAAAATCAATCCATTCCTTCCATTTGTCCCTAAAATCGCTCACAAACGAGGGGATTTTTCGGATTTTTGGGTAGAAGCTTCGAGATTTTTGAGGGTTAAATATAAGGTGAGTTTTCTTGTTTAAGGGGTAAGAAAAAATCAAAGGAAAATTTTTCAGAAGAATTAGTGGAGTAAAAATTTTCTAGGGTTCTTGAGTTCCTTTTGTGAGATTCTTTAATTTTTTAGTCGTTTTCTTCTGATTTCTTTTGTTCAGATTCGAGATTTTTGTTTTCTTATGATTTCTTTTGTTCGAGTTGGTTAATACAAAAAAAAAAACAAAAAAAAAATCGCTACAGATTCTGAGAGAACAAATTTTTGAAGAAAGATTCGGATAAGAAAAAGAGAAATTTCAGTTTATAATTCTAAGGATATAAAGTTGATTGAGCTTTAGAGGTGCTGATTTTGTTGGTTTTGCTGTCAGAAGCGGCTGCTTTCTTCTTGGTTTGCTTGACCTTTATTTGGTCTTATTCCTTCTCTTGTTCTGTTTTCAAGGTAAACATCTACCTCCTCCTATTGTTTGTTTTATTGATGTATTAAAGGTTGTGATGAAATGACATTGTTTGTTTATCCGACAGGATATGCTTAAACTTGCTTGAATGGTCATTTGAACTTAACAATGAAGATTAAAAAATGTTCTTGGCTTGTTGTGTCGTTTCGTGCTTCTAAAACTCACGGTTACACACACAAACTCATTACATTTAATCATTCATATGGTTTGCTAATGTTATTGTGTAGATTTACTAAAAGTTGAAACGAAGCCTTATAAGTTCAAATTAGATTTTAAAACTGATGAATCTAGGTGAGGGGTTTAAATTGTTTTACTTCCCTTATCAAGATATAGCAGAATGTGTATTTGTATGTGTGTGTGTTTATTGATGTGCGTGGTTTTAGATTGGTTAATCACTTCTTCTCCTTTTCTTTTTGTTCCTTTATCAACTATCTCTCCCATTAGAGCTTCTTCATATATAATATCTTCAAAAGTTCTCATGTAATTGTTCTGTTGCATTTTTTATTTCTGTCCCACCTCATGATGCAGTTCAATCTGGTCTTATATGATAGTTCTTCGTTTATGGAAGTTCCTTTCCTTATTTGTTTACTAGTAAAGTTAGAATTTTGATTACACTATTGTCTATTCCCACCTGCAAGGGGACTTTTCTCTTCTCTGTTATTCACTGCCCAAATTCTTCCTGTTTCATAGACGGGATCTGGAATAGTGAGGAGAGTTGGAGTCTTTAGGTTGGAAGGTGATATAGGTGGAGGAGTAGTTATGAAACGATACAGATCTTTGCCAAAAGCCACTTCCTCTAGATGTCACTTTATATGAAGATATATATATGTTTGTGAGAAGAGCTAGTTGCTTACTTGCCTACTTTGTGATTATTTGGAGGAAATGCAAAGATTTTATATAGAGAGCTAAGGCTTTATCTGTGGTGTCTCATGAAATTTCTGTGCAACTGATCGGAGATTCATGCTTATTTCTTGTATGTTGTGTGTGTACGTGTATTGTTTGTGTGTATTTATGATGTTTATTTATTCACTGTCAATCATGTAAAATTTAAAGACTAATGTTTAGTCCTTAATTAGCAGAATGAATGTGTGAAGGTTAGTCACATATGAATGTAAAGACTGATCTCTTTTATTTATTATTCTTTGCCGTTATATGTATATGTGTGTCAGTGTGTTAGAGATTCCAATGTAGTGAGGACATTCGAATTTCTTCCTATTTTGTCAATTATACAGCAATTAACTCACTATGCTTGTAGCACAGAATTTTTTAGTATAGATAAATCTGCCCGGTTTGCTTATAATCTTGGAAGTGAAGCCTAAGTGATAAATTGATTCCATAGCTCTCGACTTTACGACAAATCTCAAGGATAGTTAGAAAATAATTCGAACATCCGTAATTTGCTTTAAGGGCAACCTTTTAAAATAATTTGAGGTGTGCCGTGCCCAAACAAAACCTATAATACATGGACCTCACAAAATTAGATCAAGAGCTAATTCCTTTAGAAAATATTTTGGAGTGTGCCATATACAAATAAAATCCTATAATCTATGGCCCTCACATAAATACAAATTTAGTATAGAAATTGCCTTGAATTTTCGTAGTTTGCTTTAGGCGCGTTAATTAAATAATTGTTATAGCTACGGGTGCGGTTCTTGTGACGTAGTCGTGACGCTTTATTACTAAAATCCGGGGGTACATTTATGAGACCCAGCCACAATTTAATCTTTAATAATTTAAGCGTGTTGTAGATTGTGGGTATGGTTCCCGTGACATGATTCGCAATGTGTATCAAACAAACAAGTGTAAGACAAACGTAACTTGTTCCATAATAATTCCATAAATTAATTAAAAGCGGTTTATAAAAGCTAAAATGTACAATAGATTTAAAACATGTAGTAAATAAGATAATAGACCAATTATTAATAGTTTAAGTGACCGTGCTAGAACCACGAAATCCGGGAATACCTATCACCTTCTCCTGGGTTAACAGAATTCCTTACTTAGAATTTTTGGTTCGCAGACTTTTAAATAAAGTTGAAAATTTCCTCGATTTGGGATTTTAAATAAACCGGTGACTTGGGACACCATAATAAATATTCCAAGTGGCGACTCTAAAAATAAATAAAATAATCTCATTTCGGATAATGTCACTTAAATTGGAAAAACTCCTTTATATCCCCTCTCGGGTGGAAAAAGGAGGTGTGACAGTTCTGTCGACTCTGCTGGGGACATGAACCCAGAACTTCTGGTTCAGGGTTCAGAATTCGAGCTTAGAATAACTATTATAGTTGACTTTTATTTATTATCTGATTTTACGTGTTTGAGCCTAATATGCTAAATGTCGCTTTTTACCGCTTTGATATTGAGTGAACGGTATATAAACTGTTACGAAACCCTTTTTCTCTCTGAGTCTTCTAAATCATCTGGGAAGTGTGCACTTCGTATGATTTCTTTTTTGTTAGAGTCACCCAATTTCAGAACGAGGTTCGGACAAGTTGCAAAGCCGGTGAAGCTTCTGTATTCCCGGTACGNGGTATCCTTAGTAAGAACGCTTGTTTGCATCACGTGCATTTGACTTTGGGGACTCAATACAGGGATTGAGTCCGTCTAGGACAGGTGTACCTAAGTTAAAAGACCATGCTGATGCATCTTACATGATACTTGCGTATCTGTCTGTTTCGGCTTGCATATTGATCGACTTCTAGAATAGGGAAAGAAAATCAAAGAAAAAAATCAAAAATCAAAAACAAGAGTGAGAGGTAGGCATTTGAAAATTCCGAAACTCTGCCGAAATTCTGAAAAAAGGAAAAAAGAAAAAAAAGGTCATTTCAAAATGAGCCAAAATTTCAAGTGCCATGTTTCCCTTGTTCCGTCAAAACTGACCAAACTATGCGGGTCTGATTCTCACCGGATGTGAGATACATAGGCAAACCTCATCGGTTCCGACCCTAATTTTTAAAAATCCAAAAATATTTTCCTTTAGTTCCTTCTTTAGAAATCTTTCCTTAGAAAATTCAAAAAAAAGGTTTATAAAACTTAGAAAAACAAAAAAAGTAGTTTCCTTCTTTCTGAAGTCTTTCATACGGAAAAAGAAATAAAAAGAAAAATCAAAATTCAAAATACGGGTTTCCTTTATTTTGAAGTATTTTACCAAAAAATAAAAAAATAAAAACAAAAAAAAGAAAATATTCTTTTACTTCTTTGAAAGTATTTCGTTCGTAAATGTTAAAATAAAATTTATCTCAAAATTGAAGTCCAAAAATATTTTTCCTTTTCTTTAGAAGTACTTTTGTAAATAATAAAAAAACTCAGAAATCCAAAACATTTTCTTAAATGTCCCTCTTTCGAAAATTAAGAGGCAACATCCAAAAGCCAAAAATATTTTTTTTCTTCTTTAGAAAAAGAGAAAACGAATGAAAGTTCAAACAAAAATATTTTCCTTTTACTTTTAAAATTCCCAAAGTTGCAATCAAAAGCAAATGAATTTTTAGAAGTCTTTCTTCAAAAACAAAACAAAAATCAAAATAAAAAAATCAAAAAAAAATAATATTTTCTTTCTTCTTTTAAAGCATTTCTTTCAAAAATTCCACCCAAAAAATAAGCTAGTTTATTTACTCCATTTTTGATCTTCCATAGCTACGCAAGATCTGATTAATGCGGCGCCATGATACGTAGGAAATTCCCAGCGGAGTCGATCATAGCCATAAAATTAGTTGAGTGATAAAATAAACTGAAAAAAATTGAGTGAAAAAGAAAGAAGAGAGTGAAAAAAAAAGAAAAAAAGAGAGAGAGCGACAAGCAATAAAAGAGTGACAAACAAAAGAGAAAAAGAGAATGCCAAAAAAAAAAAAA